CACCCCTGTGAGCCACGCGTCGCCGTTTCCCTGCTATAATCGGGACGCGTTGGCTAATCCATCTCAGCCAGAGCCCTCTAGTTTTGAAATGTCTGTGGCTTTTATACAGTTGCCACTCCGTAAGAATTATGTACCGCAGAGGAAGTTCCTCTCCGGCTCTTGTGTTGTTCCTTGGCGATTTGAATTCTTCAGCTTGTTTAAATGAACGGCGCTTGAAATATCAGTTGGGCTTTTAAGTGGAGCACTTTCTTGACTCCCCCAGTGGCATAAGATATCTGTATGTAAACTTGCGGTGCCTTGCCTTCTAGTAAAGCCGTAGTAAATCATTTAAGGCTGTAAACAGTTGTTAAAGCAAGCTTTATCTTTTGAGTCAATGTGAAAAGCAAGGCGTCTTTGCTTTTAAAAGCAAAAGGATCCAAAATACAAGTTTTCTCAATTTTCATTTGAAAAAAGAAATGCGCCAGTGAAAAGTTTGATGTTTCTTGCAGAGGGGAGCGTGAGGTTAGCCTCAAAGTTGGTTTTTAGTCCAGAGTCATGGGACTTAGCCTGGTGCCTGTGTAAGTCTAAACCCTGTCCTTGCAGAACTGCGGTGATGCTCTGCGTCTGTACTTTCTGCCTAAAGACAGGTGCTAAATCACATTACCTAGGGCGAAGCTGCTGGGTTTGTTGTTTGTTTTGGGTTTTTTTTTTAGTGAATAATTCTAATACTGCGCTGTGATTTAGGTGTCCCTGGGAAGCCACAGTGATTGCTACCCAAAAAAGCTTTCTATTGCCTTTATTTTTTTTTTTTTGGATGGCACTTGAGTTGTATCTTCCTAATGCAAAACCACTTCTAGAAAAGTCCCGTTTCCTTGTGTAGGATTTCTCTAGGAGTAAACAACATTCTGGGATGCTTTAATGACTCATCATCATGAAACTGTCATCTACCCTCTAAATATGCAAATTACTGCCAAGCACACCAGCAGATATCCAGCATACGTTAAATCCAAGCTACTTTTGCTGCGAGCAGCGTGGTGCTGCCGCTGCCAAAGTGGGGTAGGGAGTCCGCTGCGAAGGATGTAGCACGCTGAGGTTTAAAAACAGGGAATGCCGTGGCAATTCCTTAAAGCTCATCTTAATTTGAGTCTGAACAGGGTCCTAATTTGAGTCTGAGCAGGGTTTTGTGATTGTGAAGTCTGTAAAGCAGCTCCGTCAGGAGTTTGTGCCTGGGACCTGGGAAACTGGAAAACTTTTTTTTTTTTAATGCAATATAACTTTCTAAATATGATCTAGGATAAGCTCCCTGTAAAGCCTTTCTGCAGAGCACAGTGACATGCCGGCCCAGAGCTGAGCACTGCAGGCTTCTGCATCTGTCAGTGCTGGCTTTGATATCAAAGCGCTTAGCTGTCACTTATAACTCCATGGGCTTTTCTATTCCCCCTTTCTAAATTCATCCTTGGCTCTGACTTGAAATTAAAAAAAAAAGCAGAACGCAAGGCTTCAATCAGACTCTGTTATTGAAGAAGGGTCTGCAAGTTCTGGACCAGTGGGAGTTGTGATTTGAGGAGGGCACGGAGGGACTAGAGTCCAGTTTCATTCCTCATAAATGCCCTGCTGAGAAACTGCAGGAAGACTGGGACAAAAGCCTGAAAACCTGATACAAGCCACTGGAGTGGGTAACACTGACTTTATACTCATTTTGAGCAGGAGCTTTCTTCCCCATAGGGGTTTTTTAGCTCTCTAGGTTTGAAGGACTGGATGCAAACTGTGGCAGAAGAGCCTGTGGGGCTGTGGCTGCCCCAGGGGCATCCCTGTAGCCACACCATGGTGGGATGGATGGAGACGAGCGATAACGTTGGCTACTGCAGGGGGAAAACTCACAGATCTGAAGCTGGTGGAGAGAAGTTCTCAGCTGGTCAGTGCTTGGAGCTGGGCAACCTTTGTTCTGAGGTTTTACGGTTGGGTTTTGAGCTGTGCGGGTAACAGAGTGAGTTGTTGCTGGGTGCTACCTGCTCATGGGGGAAGGCAAGGAGTGGAAAAATTAGGTGTACGGGGCGGTCTGGGGGCTGAGGATGAGGTGGCCTTCCCCCAGTTTTGATGCTGGGGCAGGTGCTGGCACCCTGCAGCAGTGGGAGCTGCCACTTGGGCTCACCCCTTAGGGGAAAAATAAAAATCACCCCCTGGTGCACAGTGCCAGGCATCAGGTTTATTCTTCTTTTCCTCTCGGCCGCTGCCATCTCCTTCGCCAGGAGTTAAATGCCTCTTCCCCCTGCACTGAGCCTAATTGCGTCCCTAGGGTTTAACACGCGTGTGTTTGTTTTATTCAACGTGTTGGCTGTTCCCACCGGAACAGGCTAATTTTTTATTTTTTTTTTTAGGGATTGGGCTTTCTTTTTTTTGCTTATTGTGCACAACAAGCTACTGCACAAGATATTCATTTGGGGGGGCAGGAATTGTAGTAATGCCAATACTTCTTGAATATTATAAACCTGGCTTATCAGCCCGATGCAGAGCTGGAATTTGTCTCTTCCTGTGCTGCATCTCTGCTTTCTGAGAGGGGCGTTTAAATACAGGCTGGAGACGCAGCCTTTCCAGTGTGCTCTGCTGGGCTGTGACAGCAGCATTTTTTTTTTTTTTTTTTTTTTTTTTTTTACACTAATTCCTCTCCAAAAAGGAACTTCTCGGGGAGAAGACTCTGAGACTGCATGTCCCAACAGTACCCACTGAAGGAGGTGAAGGGAGACGCAGTTTGCTTCGTACCTGGCTCTCCTCTCTTCTCCGTCCTAATGGAGCCGGCTTCTTTTTGCTATCCCCGGCTCACCTTTCTCCGCTCGCCCTACGGCCAGTTTGGGGCGAGCGCTGGCTCTTCGCAGGATTTGGCCCCGTGGCCACAACGTTTGGTGACGCAGAGGTGGACCGGGCCGGTGGACGGTGGGTGACCAGGGATGAAAGGGTTGGGGACTGGAAGAGGGGTGATATGGGGTAGTAGAGAAGCCTGCTGAGATTTGGGGAGGGGGCTTTGGAGATGGTGGGTGAAGAGGGAGGCAACAAAGGTAGGACTTGGTGGATGCGTTACGTGGCTGTGTTGATGTACTCTGCTCTCGGACCCGTCTTAGTGCTGCTCGCTTGGCCGCTGTCATCTCCACCAAGGAGCAGCTCCAGCCCCTGCGACACCCTCGCGCTTGGGCAGGCTGGTCAGGGAGAGCTGATAAACAATCTCAGCATGGAAAATAACAAAAATAGAAACTGATCTTAGCCAGTCTTTTGTTTCATAAGCTTGTTCACTTGCTGAAATGAATCCGACAGTGTTTGAAACCTGAAATACCTGCTTGGAGGAGGCTCATTTCACCTTTAGGGTTGTGATGCTGTCAGCTCTGTCCTTTAAACTGTTATTAAAGGTATTAAGTGTGGGTATAGGGGAAGATATTAAGATCCTCTACTGCAGATTTGTCTTGCTACGAGGAGAAGGTACCTTAAGTATCAGCTTGTTTCAAAATTTTATACATTGCTTTACTGCAAAGAATCTATAAGGGGAAACTCAGTAAATCCTGGTTTAGGAGCTGAGCTCTGCTCTAAGTGCTGATCTCAGGGGCAGGAGTCTTGACTTTCTGTAAAACTTTTTTGGGGAAGGTACTGGGCTTGATGAGATGAGGTCCTGGGCAGCCTGATTTAGCTTGGAAGGTGGTCCTGCCTGGAGCAAGGAGTGGGGCTAGAGACCTCCAAGGGTGTCTTCCACCCTCAGATACTTTAGGGACCATGGTATGCTTCCTTTACCTCTTACTAACAGTCTGAATATGATGTAGCTTACCTGGAAAAGCTCGTCAGGTGGCATGGTAAAAAAAAAAAAAAAAAATATGGAGGAGACTGGATGAGCAGTCTCAGCAGAGAAAATGCGTAGGAGGTGTTTAAAAACATGCATTGCCTGTGGTTTCATGCAGCGGAAACAAGCCCGTATCAGGGACTGAGAACGGGGCTGTATGGCTCTGACTGAATCCCTCTGCTAAAAGCGATGCTTCTTCCCGAGCCGTGCCCTGCTCTGCCTCGCTTTGCTCTGGGAAACATTTGCTGCCTCCTGGTAAATACGATCACTGGGAAATTTTTACTTAAGTCACAGTAGTTGTCAGAGTTACTATTGGGGAGTGACCCAGCATTTAGATAACTTTTTTTTTTTTTTTTTTTTTTTGGGGGGTTCTGCCTTTTCTGACTTGATGTTGCTTTGGGGAGTTAGGGTTTTCTTTTTTCTTTTTTTTTTTTTTTTGGCCAGCATAGACCATTCCTCTGGGCTTTAAATATCCAGCTGGGGGAGACTTGGCTTATTGTTATGAAAATCTTGAATTGTAAGGAAAGTGAAGCAGCAGAACAGGCTGGAGAGGGGGGAGGATGTGGCATCTTCCCTCCAAAGCTTTTTAGGCACTGTGCAGTCGAGCGCTGGGCAGACAGGCTTGGATGTAAGTCTCCTCGGAAGAGGTGAGGTCTCTTCAGCTCTAATTTTTTAAATTTTTTTTTTTTCTTGCAACTTGCTGTTAGAGCACAGACTTATTGCCCTGTTTCTCATTCCCCTGTGCAGGCTCCTGACCGAATGCATGCGTTAACCCTTGCACTGCTGCCACCCGGGCAGCTCAACTGTCATGCTGGGTAGCGTGGAGAAAACATCAGAGTCCGGCATCACGCTCGCAGAGTACAGCCGCTATATCTTTAAGAAATTTGCTGTATCTACCTCTCAGCAGCAGGGTTGTTTTTTTTTCCTCCCTCCACTCAGTTCTTCCTACATCTTCACATCCTTTTATTCTCCCTGTACTTCTGTCTGTAAGGTACAGTATCTTCATTTCAGTTGAGCCTGGCTGCCACAAAGCTGCGCTTTTTTTTTTTTTTTTTCTTTTAAGGAGGAACAAGGGCTTTCTCCTTGCAGCATCCAGCAAAAACTGCCGGGTCACTTTAATTATTCTATTTTTCCCTCCTTGCTAGCAGAGGCAAATAGCTCTGAGAGGCAGCGGGATCTGGGTGGCTGGAGTAGAACAAGCCAAAGCCCAGCCTTGGCTGGGGCTGCGGTGACATGTGGAGCGGTGCTTTGCAGGCGTAAAGTTAGCGGCTCGCCGGCATCCCTCCTCCAGTTGGGAGAACTGGCTTGGAGGTGCCCAGCTGGGAGCTAATGGGTCACACTCTCACTCCACCCATTCGCCGCTCGCCAATTGGAAGTGAGGGAGAAAGATGCTCTGGATGGATTAATATTGGAGCCATTGAAAAAGCACGAGCCACTGCTGGCTCAGCCACCTGAACAAGTGGCATTTGGGAATAAGTGTGGTGGCTCAGGGGGAGCAGCCAGGAGGGGAGCGGAGGCTGTTTGAACAGCATCTCTATTAAAGGAGTAGTGCAGGTAAGTTGTGGTCTTAAAAAAAAACCAAAAAAAACCAAAAAAAAAAACAAACCAACAAAAAAAACCCACCCCAAACTGAAGCACTACTGTTGCTGGGCGATGCGTTTGGACAGGAAATCTAGAAACCCAGCTCTGCCAGCTCTTTAATTATTTAATTCACTAAAGTAAGGCAGTACTTGATGTATTTTCAGTGGGCTTTGCTGCTTAGTGATGCTATCTATTGCCTGTGCCGGATGTCTCTGTGCTGTTGTGTTTAAGGATGGAGAATACCTTTTTGAATTCAATTTTACATTAAGCAGAGCGCTGTCTTTCAGGGTTTCAATTTAGTTTCAAGATATGCATGGGGAGATGAGCACAAGAGATATTACCTGTTCTGTTCTCTTTTTTTTTTTTTTTCTCTAATTAATGCTAAAACATCCTAACAGTCTGTCTGGGAGGCTTTACATACTGATGTTTCATGTGGGGAAAGTGCAGTGCTGAGTGAAAACAAAATGCGTGTATGTAATCTGTCTAAAATGCTAGCAAACATCATCCCTGGTGCTGTAGCCATGGAAGCCATGTAGACGAACCATAAACAATGTCCTAATGAATAAAACTCTATCAGGGATTGCTAGTCTGCAATTATTTCACCACCAGCCCATGGCATTTTTATTTTGGGGTTGATGATAGACAGCAAAATCGGAGCTGGTGCTGCTGCCTCTCCCACTGTCCGTGGTGGTGGTGGTGTCACCGTGCTGCTGTTTCGTGGCTCCTAGACATAGAAACTGGATGGGGTGATTAGTGTTATCCTGCCAAGCCTGTCGTGATTTGAAGTCTCTGTTTCTGGGGGGAACGGTTGAGGCTGTGGAGGGCAGTTGGGCTGCCATTTGGGTATCCTTTGGACCGTTTTCACTTTCAATTGCAGGGGGAGGTTTTGCTTTCTGTGTCTTGCCTGGAACCATAACTGAAAATGTGTTTGGTGATCAGGTGGCTGGGTTCACTTTCTCTACTTATGTGTCTTCCTTTTTTTTTTTTTTTTTTTCCGGGATAGATTTTGTTTTGACCAAATTTCTGGGTTTCTGTGAATTAAAGCTGGTCTGTTCCATCTAGATGCTTTTTGGGAGGGGGGTGGGGGGTGGGAAGGGGTGCAGGAATAACTTTACAGAACCTTGTCCCAGCTGCTGCTGCCTCTTTAGCAGCTGTTTTCATTTCTGGTGGCAGTAATATAGGGGATTAAAAACTTTCTAGAAACACTTCATTCCAAAACATGATGCTGCTACCCTGGGGGAATGCTAGAGCCTGAAACTGGTGGTGCTGGAGGATCTCTTCCACTGAACCCCAAAGAAGAGGTCTTATAGCTACTAGTTTACACCTTGCTCCTGCTTGATTTTTACAGTATTTAACACAGCTGAACCACTGCAGGGAACAGCTCCCTTCCTCCGAATAGCCCCAAGCAAGTGAAATGTTGATAGAGACTGTCTTTTAACCATTTTTGCATATTTTTTCACAGTACCACTGCAGATAGGTGACAGGTGGTGGCCTCTGGAAGACCTGCTTGTACAAGGAAAGAATTTCAGCAAAGGAAAATAAGTCGGGCACCTTTTTGAATCCACATTGAACCTTGACCAAGATTTGGGGACATTTTTTGATTAAGAGTTATGAGGTTTTTTTGATATGGCCCTGCAAGTGAAAGGGCTGTCTGAAAAGCTGTCAGCAAGAGTTAATGCTTTCTAAATTATTTAAATGTTTCAGGAAAAGTCTACTGAAAAACCTCAACTGGCCTGTTCTTGGGCCCTTGCCCGCTTGTGGGATCTCTGGAGGTATTTGCTTTCCCTCCTCTCCCATGTAGCGCTTATGCAAGAAATCCTTGTAAGTCTGAAATCACTGTTTTAGAGGGTCCAACAAAATGAAACCTCCCCCTTCAACCTGGGAAAAAGGCAAATAGCCCAAATTCTCTGTCCGCCAGCCAAATCCCAAAGCGTTGTCGTTCTGCTTCTTGCCTTCTCCCGCTGGCCAAAAAAACCAATGGAGGAGGGAAAGAGATCCCGTTAGCAAAGCAGCTGCATGGCTCTCGATTTACAGGGTCGCTTCCTCTTGCAGCTCACCTCTGGGAGGCACCCTCGGATATTAATTGCTCGGGTGGGCTAAATTGTGAGGAGTCAAACTGGTGCTGCTGGTGGTAAATCCAAGCCCTGCTGACACCATTTTTTTTTTTTTTTTTTTTTGGTGGGGGAGGTCTCTGGTAGCTGTCATTGCTGCTAGCAATCTTTTATTAGATGGTTTTATTGTGATGGGTGTCCTGGAGGAAGCTGGGGAGGGGATGAAGAGGAGAACTGTTCAATGCAGTGAGGAAAATGCTTTGAAAGCAGACACGTCTGATCCCTGAGCTTGCGTGTGGGTGTGTGTTTGCCTGGGAGTGAGCAGGCAGGAGGATGCTTCCTGCTTTATCCTTTCAATATGATGCTTTCTGTTTTCACAGCCATCGACTGTGAAAATTAGTTCTGGGGTTTCGCTTGCCAGAGTGACCATGGCATGATTTCAGACCTCCTCGCACCATTATCCTTCATCAGAAGAATATCCAGCTCCTTGCATGTAATTCCTGATTTGATACTTTAGTGTGCGCTGAGCCGTGAAGCTATAAAAGTTGTGTTTTCTGCCTGCATCAGGACTGGCATGCTGGGGTGGTCACGCTGATGGGGGACACTGCTCAGGTCACCCATGGAGCGAAGCTTTGTGTCTGAGTAACTGGTGTGCCATGGGATAGCCTAGGAAACGTCAGGGCTGGTGTCATGTCCTCCAAAAACCTGAGAAATGGGATACTCCCAGGGGTGTTAGAGATGTTTAGTTTTGGTAATCCAGAAGACTTAGCCCTAAAAATGGGGGGTTTGCGGAAATGAAACCTTTGTGGGAAGCAAAGAGGTGGTGAAAATCTTTCTGGGACGTTTCTTCTAGTAGAAGGCAGGGGAGTCAAGTGACACGTCTGTGCAATTCTGTGGTAAGAAGAGTATGTTAAACATACATAACATTTAAAAAGTGCTCTTTAGTAGAAAGATCCTCTCCTGTAAGGATTGCTAGAGGATTTGGCCATGTCTACACATAAGGAGAGCAAAGCTTCTGTCCCTTCAGATCTGAGTCTTTTGGCTAAAGCAGCAATTCGCTGTTGGATTGGGCTACTCCAAAACACCTTCCTTCTCAGTGTCTTTGGCCAACACTTTTTTCTAAATGCTTACCAAGATGAAGGGCTTTGGAATAGATTTAAATCTTCCTGGGTCATGGCTGTCTTCTAGACTGTTCTCAAGACCTCAGAAGTTCATTTCTTGTAGATGTTTGCATGCAGATGATGTTTTAGTCAGCCCATTTAGGTAAAGGTCTCTAACAACAACAAAAAATCCCTGTTTTATTAAAGCCTGCTGGTGGCCATACTCTGCCCGCATTACACCTCTAGGCATGCCACGTGAGGATGAGTCCCTTGCCCATCCATCAATGTCTGGCTGTGTCTTTCAAAGGCTTGACGTCTTTGCGGGGAGGAGGATAAGTTGAGAAGAAAAGTGGGGAGCAACAGTGCAGAAGGGGAATGTAGACAGAGGGAAGTCAACCCTTCCCGTGAGTACTGGCTGGAGTCTGCCCTTAGGCTTTCACCGTGATGACTGGTATGTTGCTAACTCCTTACTTGTCAAATAGCACTGAAGAAGGCAGTATTAGGAGGGTATTTAGAT